CCACATGTGCGATTAAATGACGAACATAGAATAACACTGTTGAGACAGCTGAAATCAGATAGAGATATTGTAATACCATTCAGAAGTTGGGAATTTCATGAATATCCAGTTTTACCTAAAACACAAAGACACACATGGACTGTAAAAACATCTACTCATTTCGAAAAAGCAAGATATAGATATATAATATTTGCACTACAAACCAAAAAAAGGAATAATATACTAGCTAATGCCAGTCATTTTGATCATTGCAAACTAACAAATTGTAATTTTTTTTAATTCACAATTTTTCCCTTACGACAACTTTAATATTTCTTTCACTAAGAAGAGGTACACTGTTTTGTATGATATGTACGCTAGATTCCAAGGTTCATACTACGGGAAAACAAACATCCTGATACTGTCTCCCGAGCAGTACGAATCAAAAGCTCCAATAATTGTAATAGATTGTTCAAAACAAAACGAATCTGTATAGTCATCAAGTGTGGATATAAAAATAGAAATGGAGTTTGAAGAGAACGTTCACACCATTGACGGGATTAGTCAAAACAGTGTTGTAAATGAGTTTTACCGCAACCACCAGTCGGCTATAAAAGGAGAGGCTTCGCACACCACCAATCAGTCTTTGCTCGTTCGTTGAATGGGTAACATCCTACACTACATCATAAGTAAAATGAGTTTTTCATCAGTCGTACAAAAGCATGCAGAGGAAGCAGCATTATTGGATCAAGAAAACCATCAAGAAATCGTAAATGATATAGAAGAATTTTTAAAGTTTCGAAAACAAGAAGACAAATAAGACAAGGAAGAAAAAGAAGAAAAGGCTAAAAAAAATGGCACTAAGAGGAAGCGGAAAGATGAAGATACAATCCCAATTAATATTTTGAAAGAAGTTTTCCTACGCATTTACTATCCTATCTCACTATGTTTGGGTAAAAGTGTAACAGCTGGACTAATGAAATCATCGGAATATACACCCACAGTAATCTTGCAGCATGGTACAAAAATGGTTTTATTTTCTGAAACGGCATGGGAATCTTTTCTAAAACATTTAAATCTAATTGTCCAGCGAAGATCATCCTGCCGTAGTGGATAACGTCGTTCACGGACACAAAGATAATCCCGGAGGCGAGACACGATAATTATTGAATTTAAAACCGATCACGGTATAAAGATAGTTCAAGGCACAAACTGGTGCGTGATAAGCGGTAGCGGGCGGGAATGTAAGTTGACATTGACGAGAAGAAGAGATAAGAGGAAAAAGGAGTTGGTAATGCTACCTCACTGGCAGGATTGCCAACTAGGAAAAGAGGAATAACTAGCAATGAGTCTGTGTTTATGTATGTATGCCAAAATGGGCTGAACTTTAATTAAACTTGATTTTGTCCTTTTTATTTATTATTATTTACACAACAAGATGAAACAACATATCAGCATATAATTAATTCTATATGCTGATATGTTGTTTCTTTTTTTAATTCAAACAAATCACCTTGTAATTTTTACTATAAATAACAGGTCTTACACGCAGTTGCTCTCAGTCTTGTTTCAACAATTCATCGAGCATCATGTCACAGCGTAAATACAATTTACCTTTTGTTTACAAATCCAAATACGATTTGGATAACTATTGATGTAATTTAAAATGTTTTAGAAAGCCTGAAAGTAAAGTTGATGGAAAAGCTTGTAAAAAATGTGAGTCTGTTGGCTATTGCATATGTAGGTGTAAAACATATCAAGACAAGCATCAAAATTACATACACGATCTAACACAAATGGTTAAACTACTCTGGAAAAATGTGGACTAAGATGTGGCATATGCACGACAGCTGCAGGCTTTTACACTATAAATAGCAACTCACAACACATTGCTTCTCATTCTTGTTTTAAAATTCAGTCGAGCAACATGTCACAGTGTAATTCCAATTCATCTTTATGGAATGATACCCGCATAATGCTCTCCCCCACCTCTACTACTTTACCCCGCCCCTACTGCTTGTTTTGCATTTGTTATGAACTACAGCAAGTAGATATGTATAAAATAAAATAAAAATATAATGATTGTTTTGTGATTGGTAGGGATCGAACCCGCAAACATCTTAGATCAAGGACTCACACTACTCCCACTACGATACGATACCATACCAAAAATCAACATATTACTCCAACTGTAAATTAAGTGTTTTGGTGTTTGGTAAGGATCGAACCCGTGAACCTCTAGCTCATACATAGCTTCATAAACTACTAACCACTAGAAATAAACATTATTTAGATTACCCCTCATCCCAAGAGTACATAACACCTATGAAATGTAAATTTAACATTCAACATTTAATGGCCTTTACAAAGGCCATTTTTTATACTCAACGGTAAAGTTCCAATTAAGCCTTCTTTCAACTGTTTTTAACATTTGATACATGAATTATCATTTGTTTTGCATTTGTAATGAACTACAGCAAGTAGATATGTATAAAATAAAAATATAATGTTTTTTTGTGATTGGTAGGGATTGAACCCACAAACCTCTTAGATCAAGGACTCACACTACTCCCACTACGATACGATACCATACCAAAAATCAACATATTACTCCAACTGTTAATTAGGCGTTTTGTGATTGGTAAGGATCGAACCCGTGAACCTCTAGCTCATACATAGCTTCATAAAAAAAACCGCTAGAAACAAACATTATTTAGATTACCCCTCATCCCAAGAGTACATAACACCTACGAAATGTAAATTCAACATCCAACATTGGTGGCCTTTACAAAGGCCATTTTTTATACTCAACTGTAAAGTTCCAATTAAAACTTCTTTCAACTGTTTTAACATTCGATACATGAATTATCATTTGTTTTGCATTTGTAATGAACTACAGCAAGTAGATATGTATAAAATAAAATAAAAATATAATGTTTTTTTATGTGATTGGTAGGGATCGAACCCACAAACCTCTTAGATCAAGGACTCACACTACTCTTACTACGATACGACTTGGACTTGGACCATACCAAAAAATCAACATATTACTCCAACTGTTAATTAAGCGTTTGGTGATTGGTAAGGATCGAACCCGTGAACCTCTAGCTCATACATAGCTTCATAAACTACCAACCGCTAGAAACAAACATTATTTAGATTACCCCTCATCCCAAGAGTTACGAGATATAGCTGATACATCTCATAGCCAAAAACACGCACGCCGCGCTGCGAACAATTTTGGTTTTAGGCTTGCAAAGCTGAACACATTTCACTTCTTAGTATCTATAGACGGTACATCGTATCACGGCAAAAGACACAACAACGCGGGACCGAGACCGAACAGGTTACCGACGCGATAAAGCCGAACCGTACAACACAACTGAGAGACTAAGCGATTGCTGTGGTTTGGTCAGCTGTTACCGTTGACCGCCAAAACAACTTTCTCTCTCCATTCCAACTAGGCCACGGTCGTACCTGCGCTTGCTAGCCTCTCCCATCGGGGCCAGGCACTATTAGGAGTCTACATAATATTATTGAGTATGAATTTAACTACTACATCTATCATTAATTGTATAAACTGTGTTTTGCTCGTTAAACATTGAAAACAGCTTATCAGCTCATATCCGCCATCCCTCATAATTATCTACGTCATTTCCAAATGACCCTTTAAACTGAATAAACAAAAGAAGGAACACGATAACCGTAAACTAGATTCCTATTATTATTTTAAACAAAACAGAGACAAAAACTCAGTATTTTTAAGGTCAATAGAAGCGCATTATAAGAAACCGAGTACTGTACTACAGAGTCAATTGAATAATCAATTAGCACATCACTTTATAACGTAGAATCGGAAATGATTTAAACACGCAGCTGTACAAGCAGATGGATTATGCTAATTAATTATTTACTGTATGGTACGTAAAAACTTGATGGACACTACAAGTTTTACACTTTTAAATTGTATCACGTGTACCAAATTTTAGATATAAAACGATAAAAAACACCAACGGTGGGCGAATCATTTCTCAGCTTTTTTCCGACATTCTCTAAAACAACGATTTTACCTTGATCCTTCCCAAGTTATCATTGTACACTGTTCGATCTATAAAGTTTGGTTTGACAATCAATTTTTCAGTTTTTTTCCGATGTTACACTAGTTTTATATCGAGTCTCTTTCTGACTTGATCCATTGTCTTTCCATACATCACATTAGATGTAAATTCTACCCCACTTACGTTGTTCAGCTTCACAGCTGGCTAACAGGGAAACCCAATGTTACAGGTCTTGCATATTCGTTATCTACTTGTACAATGTAATACGAGAAACTAATCGAAATCCACAAGTGGGACCCAATGTTACAAGTCTTTCATAATCGTTTTCTACTTGTACTACGTAATACGAGAAACTAATCGTAATCGCATTTTCCTGTATAATTTCTTAACTTGATCCTATTCACTGCTATTATAGACTGTACTGGAGTAAGCATACATTCAAAGTCTGCAGTTTTGACTTATTATAACCTATCAATTATTTATACAAATAAACAATAACACAAAACAAGGAAGCTATCCTACACAAACCTATGACCTTGAAAACCATATGATCACCCTCATACACCCAAATTACACATCACCTATGACGTCACTATGTGACGTTGCACCGGAAACCACCGTTTCCGGCTGATGGGCTTTAAACTCAATTAAATCACCCCATCTGCCCTGACAGCTGATGGCATAGGAGTGACCGTATCCTCTACTACATTGCAATAAAAAACACGCCTCAATACCTTCCCTGAAGTAGCAAACTTAAGTACTCGCTAAAATTAATGTTATTTAAATAAGAAATAAATTTCAATGGAATATTTTAGTAGAAATACAGCCAGGTAAATGGAAATTCGTTTAGTCTGCAGGTTAGCTGCGGTGGTGCATTCATGTAGATACTTTATCCAATAATTGCTGATGGTAAGTTATTTTACTTATGAAAACCTTTTCTGATAATCGTTTATATTTTTTCAGCTGGATTGCCTTGTTTTCCATTGAAGTCTCAGTACCTCAACATCCAGTGTTCGTTCCAAGGCAAGGTAGTGTTTTGTGACCAGTTCATGAAGCCAGGAACGATAGCATCGCCGAAGTGTAAGAGCAACTACAAGCCTGCCTACCAAATACCATACTCTTACATTACCTGCCTCAACGATGGGTATTGGGACTACCCGTTGTTCTACTGCACTCCAGGTATAGACAAATCAGAACCCCATCATTATATCCCCAAACATTTAATGTACAAATAAAAAATTAGCTTAGTACACATATATTTGTCTGCAATCTCTTACGCAAAACATAAGGATACACCGAGTATGGTTATACAATGAAAAATGTTCTACAAGTAGTCGAGGCTAGCAAAAGACTTAGCAGAGCGTGGTAAAACAAGTGGTAAAACAAATATTGTTGCAAATGCGGCAAGCAATTAATAACCAAGGTGTTCTGATATCAATCAAACTGGATATTTATTTCAGAAAAGCTGTGCCCCCCACTGAAGGCGCCGAACAATATTAAGGTTCAGTACATCTACCAAGACAAAGTCGTTAGAGACGATCCGTTGAAGCCCGGTACCATCGCAATCCCCAGATGCAAACACAACTACAGACCTGCTTACGACCCGGGGTACACCAACTTGACTTGTCTTAACAGTGGCTCATGGGACCAACAGCTGTTCTATTGCACTGCAGGTAACTACGCTATGTTTACTCATTGAAAGACGTTGACAACAAAACTTGTAAACTTTCAAACACAAAGTTCAATTGGTTCAAGATAGTAAGTTATTTACTGCCATACTATCACAGATATTTCAAACTCTTTCGTAAATTTTGTCAAGTTGATTTCGTTGTTATGTTGTAAAATCTGACAGATTACATAAAGTAACATACTCGGTGGTATGATGGGACTGAAGCAAGGTTGCTAGCCAAAGTAGCTGTGCATTTTCGTCCATGGAATCGGTGAAAAATCCTACTTCTATATAACATCTCCCAATTTTCTTGCAGTTTATGATTTGAATCTATAAAAATTAATTCATGATGATCACCACTCATAATTGTCTAAAAGTAAACTCCTTGCTTTAAGAGGTATTTTAAAACAGATTATGCTCTTTGAAGAACTGTGGCTGACGTATTAATTTTTTTTAAGTCATCAACTGCCATTTACATTGACTTCAAAGTACCTCCTAATTCCGTACCACATTCCCCGTCCAGTCGTGCAAAACTAAAACAAATTCTTTGACTAACTGTCCAATAACAATATTAAGGTTAGTCGGGATTGAAAAGTGACCAGCTTTGAAATATGACACAGCATATTATGAAGGCTATTTTTTTAAGCAAAAACCATTTAGCCCATGTTAATGTCAATTATTGTACTAATGTGTAGTTTTAATTTCTGTTCAGTAACTGTTGCAATAATTTATTCTTTTATTATTGTTATTTAGGTTTGATTTATATTTCTTGTTTCAATTTTATCCATACTGGAACTATCGTGTCTACTTTTTATTTCAGTGTGTGGTGCGTCAAACGAGGTCGGCCAACTGACTCCGCTGATCGTGGATGGAGTGCAGGCCAATGTCGGTGCGTTCCCTTGGCATGCAGGTCTCTATTCTCGTAATGTAGTGGAAGGGAGAGAGACATGGGACCAAATATGTGGTGGTAGTTTGATAAACGACCAGTTTGTGTTAACAGGTAATGATACAAGTATAACTTTTGAATATAGTGTGGTGGCTTAGCGAAATGGTCGTGACCTGATAAATTAAAGCTGCAGCTTTTGCACATTTCTTCCGTACCCTAAATACAAACAATTTATGGGGGGGGTGCCCGATTGTTAGGTCCGCCATCTTGAAATACGACGCCATCTTTGTTTTATTTAGAGGAATTGAACTATCCATTGAAAATGGCTTAATATCACCCAAAAGGACACATTTACGCCATTTTGTATGTAGGCCTAACATGTTTTGTTCACAATTAAATTTGCTATAAAATGAGATAAAAACCACTTCGATAACTTAAATGGTCTTGAAGATATAAACTGTTAAAGTTGAAAATTTGATATATTCCTCTAGGCTACATGTAGTTTTTGCTATATATCACCTAAACGGTGAACGGTACGTATCTGTTATTATGATATATTCTATTCGTAATTAAATTTGCTACAAAATGAGATGAAAATCTCTAAAGTAACTTAAATAGTTTTGTAGATAGAAACCGTTAAAGTTATACATTTTATTAATTCCCGTTAGCAATAGGTGCGTGTATCTTAAAAGTCCCCGACCTTTGTTTTTCCTGCACGTATTGCGTTAGAAGACTGCAACTTTACACATCAATACTGGACCTAAAATAGTACTTTCTAAAGTACTTCTTGACTTTTTCCTCCCAAGGGGGGTCGGCCCACAAGGAGTAAGTTGGAAATGTTAAATAAAGCATAGGCCATGATGCGTATCAAATTAATGGGATTTACTAGTAGAACGCGTTACCACAAACTGAACTTTAAAAGGACAGGTGGGTCAAAAGTTATACAATTTTATAGTTTTGCTTTTTTATTTATTAATCAACGGTCAACACCATTACCGGGTGGTATAATGAAAATCTATCCTCTCTTAAAGAGCAGTGTCTTTTTATGTACTCTAGCTTTAAGGAAACTGGTCTGGAATACTATAAAGATGCTTTTAAGATCTTAAGGAAGCAATACAAGTGTGAAATATTGAAAGCAAAAAGACAGTATTTTTCTGACAGAGTTATGGAAGCTAATAGTAAACCTAAAGCTATTTGGACTATTGTAAAGGATAGCCTAAACACAAATGATAAACCTATGTTAGATGTAAAGCAGCATAACTTAACAGCAGAAGGTTTTAATGAATTTTTTACTAGTAGTGTCAAATCAATTGTACAAGGTATACCACAATCTGCCCAAAATGTGTCTTTCTATTTGAATAAGCTCGACCCATCTCTACGTGATAATAATTTTGCCGTAGAGCATTTTACTGTAGAAGAAGTATATAGTGCAATATTTTCCCTTAGTAATAGTAAGTGTTTAGATGTGTACGGTCTCAACTCGCGGATTTTAAAATTGGCAGCACCTTTTATTGTAGAAATTGTGTCTTATTTATTTAATCAGTGTATTGTTAATGGTATGTTTCCAGTGTGTTTAAAGTTGGCCAAAGTTGTGCCCTTATTTAAGAAGGGAGATAAATCAGAATTATCCAACTATCGACCTATATCTATAATTCCTGTTGTTGGTAAGGTATTTGAGGTTTTATTAAATAAAAGAATTGTAGATTATTTAGAAGGAAATCACTGTTATTCTGTCAATCAATATGGTTTCAGGCCTAAACGTAGTACATCCAATGCTGTTGTTAGTTTTATGAGGAATTGTATGTATGGTTTGGATTCAAAAAACAAGGTGTCTGGTCATTTCTATGATATGTCGAAAGCGTTCGACACAATCTCTCATAACGTGTTATTAGATAAGTTATCCTTTTATGGCTTTGATTCATCCTCTTTGGCTTTAATTACTAGTTACCTTTCTGATAGATTACAGTCTGTGTATTTCAATGATTCTTTTTCTGTGTATTTGCCTGTTAAGACAGGAGTTCCGCAGGGATCAATTTTAGGCCCTACACTATTTGTCGTATATGTTAATGATCTGCCTTGTTCTGTTGTCAATTGTAATGTAAGTGCCTATATGTATGCTGATGACTTGGCTCTGCAAATAAGTTCTAGTGATGCTATCTTAGCGCAACAGTCTTATGCTGAGGCCAATTCCATAATAATGGATTGGACTGCTGCCAATTCTTTGTGCCTGAATGAGAATAAAACTCAGAACCTGGAATTTAGTTATAAATGTACTAATTATAATGTAGTAAAGTTTTTAGGATTAAGTGTTCAATCAAACGTCAAATGGAACTCCCACATTGATCTAGCTTGTATTAAAGTGGCAAGGGGTGTTTTTATGTTAAGAAGACTTAAATATTTTGTTAGTATAGAAGTTTTAAAGGCTGTGTACTTTGCTCATATTCATAGTCATCTTAAGTATTGTATTATTGTTTGGGGTCACTCTAGTAATTTAAAAAAACTCCTAATCTTGCAGAAAAGAGCAGTTAGAGTGATGCTTAATGTTAGATCTAGGACTCATTGTCAGCCTTTGTTTAGGGAGCATAAAATATTAACTGTTGTGTCTTTGTATATATTGGATTGTTTAATGTATATCAGAAATAACTTGGATGATTTCCCTACAAATGAATCTGTACATTACCACAACACCAGGCAGCACTCTTTTCTCAGAATAAACCAGTGTAATTTTAAGTCTACAATTGTAAGTTTTTGTGAGTTTGGAAAAAAAGCTTTTAACTTGTTGCCGAGTAATATCAAATGTCTGAATTCCAAGTCTTTTAAGAACACCATAGTATCAATGTTATGTAGTTTAGCTGTATACAATGTTGATGAATTTTTAGATCATCTAAGTTCCTTAAAATAGTTTTTAAACTTTTACCTTGACGTTGCTATACAATGTATTATTTGTTTTTGGCAATAAATGATTTGATTTGATTTGATTTGATTTGATTTGGCTGCCCGTCAAAGTTTGGATGAAAACTCCATAAGCTTTGGTGGATACAAGATATATAGGTTTGACCGCTCTCTGATATCCAGTTTCAAAAAGAGTGGTGGTGGAGTGATGGTGGCTGTAAAGTGATGGTTGCAGTGTGATTGCTCCACATATTACGGTGTATTTCAACCCCTTGATGAAGCTTGAAAATTCCCTTGGGTTCTTAAAAATGGATATGTGCTACCAATTTTCAAGAAAGGTGACCCATCTGATGCCAAGAATTATCGTCCAGTGGTGATACAACCTGCATTGGCTAAGGTATTTCAAGCAATTCTACGTCATAGACTCTCTTTCTCTTTGGACAATGTCATCGTGCCCTGTCAGCATGGCTTCAAGAAAGGGCGATCTGCCTCGACCAATTTGGTTCTGTACCAGGATGACATTATGCAAGCCTTTTCTCGTAACCATTAAGACGAGTCTGTCTATTTGGACCTATCCAAGGCTTTCGACCGTGTAAGTCATACTTATCTTGTGGCAAAGTTTGGTGGATTGGGGATCACTGAATCATACTCGTATGATTTGAGGACTATTTGTGTAATCGCTTTTTAACCGTGAAATTTTCTTGAGTGAAGTCTTATGAGTTTGAAGCTTCTTCTGGTGTACCTCAAGGATCGCTACTGGGACCAATTTTCTTTTCAATATTGATTAATGATATGGCTGACGTTGTCAAAGATTCTAGACTATTGTTGTTTGCTGACGATACCAAAGTATACAGAGAGGTGAAGTAATTGCAAGATTTTCAGTGCCTCCAGCAGGACATCAATGAAATTTCAATGTGGTTTATGCAAAATGGAATGCTTTTGAATGAATCCAAGTGCATGGTAGTTTCATTCAACAGGACCTCAACAAGTCAACAACCTCTCTTTTTAACTATTCAATAAATGGGAATGCACTTGTTAGATCCACCTCTGTCAACGACCTTGGAGTATCATTCACATCATCTCTCAACCCTGATGATCAAGTTAACAGGTCAACAAGGAAAGCGAACTCAGCCCTTGGTTTCATTCTGAGAGTATCCAGATACGGCTTCTCTGTGTGCATTAAGGACGTTATTCGTTCAGCCAGTGCGACCCTTGTTGGAAAACTGTTCTCTTGTATGGTCCCCATTTATACAGTTGGTCTTTCACAGGGCATCGAAAGAGTGCAGCTCTTTTTTTAGAATCGTAGGACTTCGTCTGGGATACCCATTCAGGGATGTACCCATTGAGGATCTCCGACAGCATCTTCGGCTAAACCACTTGAGTTCTCGAAGGCGTATTGCTGACCTGGTTTTCCTGAGGAAGATTCTCATTGCAGAACTTGACTCTCCTGAGCTGCTGAGCAGAATCAATTTTCGCTGCTCCAGACCATCCTGATCCCAGGACCTTTTTGAAAGGGGATATCATTCTACAGTATATGCCTAGCTACAGCTAGCTACCAAGACTAAATCGTTTGGGAAACAGTATTCTTCAAAATCTCGACTTTTTCTCCTCAAGTTTAATTACTTTTAAGAAAGAGCTGCTTGCTTGTTTTCCATAATCCTTAGTGTATCATAGAGTTGTCCTGTGATCCAGTTTTTTATTGCATTTCTTGTTTGCTTACATATTTATTAAAATGTTGATGCATGTGTGACGTAATTTTCCTGAACGGTGACACTTGGGAAATTACGCCACCGATCCGATAAACGAGGTCCCAGGAATCGCACCAGTCTGGTCGCAGGGATCTTCCTAGGATTCGATAGTGATTTGGATAGCCTAAATTTGATAGCCCTGGGTATCAGAGCTCGAGACGAACGTTGCGGGTTACTAAACACCACGCTTGAGATCACCACTCTAGTCTGGGGCTTGTGGGGAAATTAATAATTTTAACTTGACTCTGTGGGCAAATATATAAATGACAATCTACTAGCTAACTTAACGAGTCAACAAGTAAGCTAAGTAGTCACCCCACTTACCTACGGAGTTAAGTGGTCAACCTGCAACGAACAAGGTTAGTACAAGATAGGCCTAGCCTAGCCTAATTCCCACAGAGTCTGAATTTATTAAACGAAAACCAGTTGGCTTAAGTTGTCCAAGTGAGAAACAAACGAGAAAACTGAAACTAAAAATAAAACTGCTCCTTGAGCCAAAAACGAAAAATAAAATTTCTACTATCTCACGTGTTTAACTTGAACCAACTTCGACAGAACTTGTCCAGCTGAAACCTGTCTGCTGGAACAAGTTTTGGGACGTTAAGGGAACTATAAAAGGGTTTAAGAATTAAAAGAGAAAGTCCCAAGACGGATTATGAAACGTTAATCGAAAATATATTTCATCAACTGCAATACTTTACCAAATTAGTTGGTTAAAATGTATGACTAGATCGGAGAGTCAGGCCTAGCCTACGAACTTCGACAAAGTTCTGCCGAAACACAATGGACGGAGAAGTATTCGAAAGAAAACCTAAGTTGTTTAAGTTTATTACACAACTTACCAAACGAAGTAATAATACTCTAAAACGATTTTTTCGCGCACTCGATGCACCACGAAACTTAAGATGTCCACTTCTAAACTTTCAGAGCTTGTGAAACGTATTCCCCAAACGACGACGACCAACCTCCAAAACGTTAACTTCGAATTTCAGCCGGGACGAGAATGACAAAACCTTATTCTTATCTCTCCACCTTCGTCTCAGATTCGAGACGAAGGTTAAAACGCTCCCTGATTGGTCAGCACAAACAGTCAGCTGAGTCCCGTGCCGGCGAAGGCAGGCGCATGACAGCTTCAACATGCTTATAGCCGCGAACCGCTCAAAAGGTGGCTCCGCTGCTCTTCTTTTCTCCCGTCGCCCGTCCTCAGACGCAGTCGAACAACCAAACAACCAAACTGACACCAACGTCGTCTGCGGTCTTGAAATTTGAGGTTAGGTACGATGTCAGTTTAGCGTCGCGACTAGGGCACTACTACAGCTTACATTCAGCTGTTTAAGTTTCGTGGTTTAGCCGTTATTTTAACCCCTACACATTTGACCCGTTACACATGTTGATAGAATTTATAAATATTATCACTTTAAACCAATCAATTTATGGAATTCCAGATTTATTTACTTATTTTTTATTCAATTCTTGTTAAGTTAGTTATACATACATTTATTCTTGTTGATCATTGTTTTGCTTGTTAATAGTATTGTTGGTTATGTATGATCCTAGTTGTTAAGTTCCGTTTGTTATATGTTATGCAATGAGATGAAATGATGTTGACCGTTGATTAATTAATAAAAAAGCAAAACTATAAAATGGTATAACTTTTGACCCACCTATCCTTTTAAAGTTCAGTTTGTGGTAACGTGTTCTACTAGTAAATCCCTTTTATTTGATATGCATCATGGCCTATGCTTTTATTTAACATTTCCAACTTACTCCTTGTGGGCCGACCCCCCTTGGGAGGAAAAAGTCAAGAACTAGTCTAGAAAGTACTATTTTAGGTCCAGTATTGATGTGTGGAGATGCAGTCTTCTAACGCAATACTTGCAGGAAAAACAAATGTCGGGGACTTTTAAGATACACGGACCTATTGCATACAGGAATTGATAAAATGTATTACTTTAACGGTTTTTATCTTCAAAACTATTTAAGTTACTTTAGAGGTTTTCATCTCATTTTGTAGCAAATTTAATTACGAATAAAATATATCATAATATCAGATACGTACCGTTCAACGTTTGGGTGATATATAGCAAAAACTACATGTAGCGTAGAGGAATATATTGAACCGAGCCCTCGTGCCTGCACCCAGACTAACGAATTGGAAGCGTGATCCATGCGCAGGCCCGAGGAGCGGCTCACAAAACTTTACTTAACAAAATGAGAACCATGTATGGAGGTTCAAGAATAACACGCCATTTGAGAGAAACGAGCTGTAATAAACCATTTAAAAAACACAACAACAATAATTAACAACAATACATGAAACTCTCAATTAACCTTAAAAATAAATTTAGCTACCCATCTAGCCTACTAACTTACAATCATTTCTTTATTCATGAAATAGGCTAGCATCAGTAAAAGGAAATTAATAAGTTTTAAGCTTCAGAAATTATGAATATTAAAAATAGCAACAATAAATATATATATATATATATAACTCTTTTATTTAGAATAGGTAACTTGAATTATTTATTTATGGGCTCCAAAATATAAAGAATTTGAAAATATAAAATTTTAAGATGTCAACAAGTAGGCTAATGTATAGACTTTAAAAGGAAATAACAATAAATATAACTTTGTAGGCAATAACAACTAATACTGCAAATAGTCTCTTCCTTTTGTGAAATAAATCTATAAAAACATAACAACAGGTGGTAACTTGCGGTAACGACGAACGGTAGCTTCAGGTAGTGGGCGGACGGCACCAGAGGGGGAAGAAGCAGGGCGGAGAGGGGCCATGATCCAGGGGTAGCCAAGTTGGAAAATTCCTCTCCGCCAAGGCTGATGCGGTCTAAATAATTTTCCTCCTCACGGGCCCCATCAAGGTGCCGGTGGCACGAGAAACTACTCCATCGACGAATACATACTCACAGCAATATAAAAATCATGGAGAAACAAGTCATAGAAAATACCAAACTTGGATAAAAGTGGATAAAAGTGGACGGATGAAGTAGTCAGAAGCACCGTCACTCAACCTATGACACTTGACGGTGGGAGCAAGAAGAACAAGGCACAGCCTTGTTGAGGGCCGTGGGAAGTAACAAAACGACACACTAGACTAACCTACTATACAAAAAAAATTTGACCATTGATTATGAGTCGTGACATTCGCCAGTGGAATTAGTCACGGCTCAAGATCAAATTTTCAACTTTAGTTTATATCTTCAAGACCATTTAAGTCATCGAAGTGGTTTTTATCTCAATTTATAGCAAATTTAATTATGAACAAAATATGTTATTTACAAAATGGCGTAAATGTGTCCTTTTCGGTGATATTAGGCAATTTTCAATGAATAGTTCAATTCCTCTAAAGAAAACAAAGATGGCGTCGTATTTCAAGATGGCGGACCTAAAAATCGGGCACCCCCCATAAATTTTTTGTATTTAGGGTATAGAAGAAATGTGCAAAAGCTGCAGCTTTAATCCATCAGGTCACGATCCTTGCTGATATTGTCTCTAAGCCACTACACTAATAAGAGTATTTTACAAAACAGCATCCTGTTACCAGAATCATAGTTTTCTTTTTTACCGATTCATTTAGTTCCAGGCGTTGCTCCGAAAGTCACTGCTTTGAAACACATTCTTAGAGCAGAGCATTTTGAAGCAGTGTCTCAGAGGCACATATGTTTTAACAATATGTTTAACTTTTTAGCGGCTCATTGCGTGGAAGACGTTCGAAATGTGGCCGATCTACGAGTGGCTTTGGGCAAATATTTCAGGTCATGGGATATACATGAGCACACTGAAGAAAAACGCAATGTGAGTAGACTTTGTTCACAAGTTAAATATTTTTGTTATATAAACTTTGGCCTAAAACTTTATAAAAAGGTTGCATAAAAGATACATTACTTGATTACTGTGATTTATGTTGTCAATTGGAGGTAGAGTCAGTAATAGTGGTAGTTATTCAGCATATTGCATGGCAATATTAGTGGTTTAAAATTTTTTTAGTATTAAAATAAGTGTACCTTGTTATACATACAAGAAAGCAGCCTTTTGTTTGAGTAATTTAGGTAGAAAGTGTATCCTGTAAATAAATACTACAAGCATTTTCAATCGTGAAAAAATAGACTTTAATATCCGTAAACTTATCTGTTTATAAAGGCAAAGAAAGACAGTGTTCTTAATCCCCTAAAAAAAATTTAAATCGGGACTAATAGAACCGATTAAATACGTAATACTGTTTAAAAATAATTTAATAACAAAATATTTCTACCCTAAGCTGACTGAAATAGTGTTCTATCACTAAAGAGTATAACAATCACTTTATAATTTATAGAAGGTCACATAGCTTTTATATTGGAATATAAATAAATAACTGTTGTATATAACTTTTTCGCTACAGTACTGTGAAATGACCAGTTTTTTTAACATGTTAATCATCTACGAAAATTCATCATTACATTGTTTACTACGGAAAAAGAATGTTTACTATGCGAAAGAAAATTTTAACTATCTTTTTAGATTTTGCCAAAGTAAACAAACAAAGATTTGTTATTTGTTTGTCAAGTGTTTCAATTTTCAACAACCAAAACTGTACAACCAAAGTAAACTACGAGTATTAACTTTAAATTGAAGGTATAACCTAAAAAATGCTATAAGATTTGTAATGTTCCTATCTGTAATAAAGAAATATCGAATGTCTGTTTTAATTAAGAAAATAATTAATTAGTCTTTGTAGTGTAGCAGAAAGTAAAGTTCACAACACGAGTGAAAGTGAATGAATACATATTCTCGACCATTTAAAATACTCGATAAATCTCGCACTTCAAACATGGTCTTAAATGACTCCCTTTCTACTCTGGTTATAAAATATACTATTTTACATTGCACGACTTTTACAAACTCATCCTTGTGCTTTCTTTATAGGGTGTGATAGTTTTGTAGGTCTATACTATTCACAGACGTTTGTAGAACTTGATCTTTACAGGTTTCGATGATAAAATTCCCTAGGGAATACAGCCAGAAAACATATCTTTTCGACATTGCGCTTTTGATGCTGGATGTGAAAATTAAGGCAGGAGAGTTCATAATGCCAGTCTGTCATGGATTTTTAGATGGTTCAAACTACATAAAAGACAAGAATTTGTTTGTAAGTATAGTAGAAATTAAGGTATACAGTATATGATACTATCAACAAATTGATAAATCAATCTTTATTGTGACAAGTCATAAAACACTATTGCAACGTAAAAACTGGGCTTCTGCCTGTGCGTGATGAGTTCTCACTGGCTGATCATGCAGATTGTAGTCATATTAAAATTGTTTATACTTCTTAATCTGCTTTAGGAATTATTACATCTATTTAAGGAAATTTTACTTGTAGAAGGAACGGTACAAACATTGATACATCAAAATTATAGCCAGTTTTTAATATTTTTTTAGGTTTTAGACACTGGTAAACAAAAAAACTTATTTTGGTCAAGCTATCAGCAATACTTTGTCATCAAATATTTCCTCCTATTTTCTTCACACAGTCCTTACAGTAAAAATATAATCTTTATAGGTCAACCGTTGATAAAACCGCATCATTTTATAGTGTTTATCCTTTTAAACTTCACACTAATGAACTTAAGGTATTTCTTGTTGCTACACTAAACCTTGTGTTCATTTAAGAATTTTAACGAATAATACAGGGTATCCAAAAATAACTGAAACATTTCAAAGGCAAATACTGATACCACATAAGATACTATGTTTAATGTTTTGTATATGTATTAAAAGCTAAAATTCTCAAGTTTTATTAGAAACTTAGTAGAACTCGATATGAGCACCATTAGTGGCCCGGCATAAATCTAAGCGAAATTTGACCTCTTGCCAGGTTTTGGTCAGTACTTCAGGGGATGTTGCACCAACACGTGCGATTATTCTCTGTCGGAGGTGATTCAGATCCTGAATCTGCACCGAGTAGACACCATTCTTTACTGACCCCTAAAGGAAAAAGTCCAGAGGAGTCATATCTGGACTCCAAGGAGGCCATTTGATGGGCCCTTCCCTTCCAATCCTGCGATATTCGAAACGAAAATCTAGTGCTTTTTGCACACACAAACTTTAGTGTGGTAGTGCTCCATACTGTTGAAAATTAACAGGGCCTTTCTCCATCTTAATGTCATCCAACTGTGGGAAAACGTACTCCTCGAACATGTCACAATAAATGCCACCGTTTATATCCCCTGAAGTACTGACAAAAACCTTGGAAGAGGTCAAATTTCACTTAGATTTATGCCGGGCCAATAATGGTGCTCATATCAAGTTCTACTAAGTTTCTAGTAAAATTGCGAATTTTTGCTTTAAATACATATATAAATCATTGAACATAGTCTTTATTTGGTATCAGTATTTGACTTTAAAATGTGTCAGTTATTTTATGGACACCCTGTATATGAAATCAAAAGTGAAGGTTGGGTAACTATTCAAAAATTTTGAACCTGAATTTTATAACAAACAACTTGCTGTGTTTGATTTATAAAAATAAATGCAGTTACTATTCAATGACTTGATGTACCCACATGCATATTGTCAGCTTAATTTCATACTTGATGGAATAGGTATCTGTAGTATTAAAAATCTATAACTGAAGATTTATTTTAGTAGTTTGATATTTCGACATAAATGTATCGGCATATCGTTTTTGATAACTCTTTTGTTTGAAATGTTTCTCACAGGTTGTAGGTTGGGGAAAGAAGGAAAACCAGATGAGTAGTGAAACCCTTCTGTACAACGATGTTACTCCGGTCCCGTCTTATGAGTGCAATCAGCTAGCCCCTTCTCTTTGGCCAATCTTCGACAAGTTCTGTGCCAGCAAAAACAGTTCAGGTAATTTAATATTTAGACATTTTTAGGTAGAAAGCTCCCAAATAAACCACACAGGAACAAACTGAGGACTGAGGGATAACTGAGAACAAGTTCAGCAAGATTTCAGTAGTGGCAACTCAAATTCGATGATTCAAACACAGCCCGTAACTAGTCTTTCAATGATTATGGCTACAATATGGGAAGCGTTTTGACATGACCAGGCTACTAAAGAATGATTACCTTTCAGCATAAGGAAGTAGTTTTATAATTGTCATGTTTCAAAGTCTGGATATGTTTCAGCATTATCAATCGCTCAACAAGGCGATAGTGGTGGGGGAGTTACGGCTGTCTACGAAGGACTTCACTATCTCTTTGGCTTGGTCAGCATAAGATTTGGAAAGACAACGTACTTCTCCAATATCACATGGCCCTTCAACATGATATGGATGGAAGGCGAAGTAAAAAAGCATCACCCAAGCTTTACGTGGGTTGAACATGAATTTTTAGACAATCCTGATCAACCAAGGTAAGTAAAGGGTTTCATTTACTAAATTTGTGATTCATGATACATTCATTACTTTTAAATAAACAGATTCATTAAGTAAAGATGATCATTCTTCTGAGTAATTTACCCAAAATATTTAGATAAATGTTGTGCCACAACAGTAATTTTAAAAGATAAACATTATATTATATTAAAATGTCATTCAATGATTTTTGATTAGCGGTATAAATCAAAGTAGGTTTCAAAGAGCTTACATGATTTTAAATTATGAATTGTTTATACATTTACAGGGTGTCCAGCTTCCATTAGGAAAAACTTTGCCAGATTATTCAGGAGGTCAAAACATACCAAAGAATTCAATAACACTTCCGTACTATCTCGAACCGTTTGAACGGTGTCCGGACAGTTGCGGACACGGACAATTGGGGACACGTCTTAAAAGCGGACAATTGCGGACACTAGAGATTAATGCTACTGACAAGGGTTTGACAGGTCTCTACAAATATTTCACTGCCGGACAACTGTGGACACATGTTCTGGAAAGAGTCTGATTTCCACCTAAAGAACAGATACATACATGATATATGTACCTTAGGTTAGGTTATGTTAGGTTAGGTTAGTGTATGAAGTGTGATGCAAATCAGTCTTAAAATCATATATCATGTATGTATCTGTTCTTTAGGTGGAAATCAGACTCTTTCCAGAACATGTGTCCGCAGTTGTCCGGCAGTGAAATATTTGTAGAGACCTGTCAAACCCTTGCCAGGTAGCATTAATCTCTAGTGTCCGCAATTGTCCGCTTTTAAGACGTGTCCCCAATTGCCCGTGTCCGCAATTGTCCGGTATTCGTTTGAACCGTCTCCTGTATGTGTTTTTACAAAATATTAATAGCTCCTTATACCACTGAAGACTTAAAAATAAGTATTATTAAGTCACAGATGATAATGGAATGATGCTACAGTTGATCACAACATTGATTGGGATCCATCATTGACTTGTTGGTATTAATAGTCAAAGGTTCCATGTAGAACAACATTTTATGTAATCTTTTAGTTACCGTGATAACGGTTGGTCTGTATTTTCTAATGACTGGTTTAATGCATTTAGAGAAGTTAATTCCAGATGTTTTGCTGTGTTTTTCAGTTATGTAAAATGAAAAACCATTCTTAAATAAAACCATTTAATTTTCAAGGCCTAAAAGTTGTATGCTGCCAAGAGACTCTGACAACAGGAAGTTTTGTTCCTTGGCAGAACATTGTGACAGCTGTGACGCAAGATGCATTATTCCGGCGGGATCACAGGCTACTAGAGTCAGAGTCGTCTGCAACCCAGGCTACAGTCTGAGAGGAGCTATTGGTGACGTGTACAGTGGAGGAGACGTAGCTACATGTCTGTCAGGAGGCTCCTGGTACCCTCGCATACCGGAGTGTATAAGTATGTTGAATATCATCAACCTTAATATATACTGTTTATGTGATTTAATTTTTTTTTTTTATCTTGTACATAAACAAATTACAGTTCCAGTGGGTTTTTTTTTGTAGGAATACACAGGGGAAACAAACTGGAGTCATAGACGTCACATAGGTCGTGTAATTACATTGCCCTGCGCATCAACACATTAAATAGCTACCACTAGTTTTTCAGGATGTAGTTACGATCTCGTCACTCTATTCTCCAGATGGTTGAACCAGGGTTAAACCCAGTTGAACCATTGGCACAGTACAGAGGCGGTAGTTTCGTCATTACACCTACATCTCCTGCAGCAACGGTCATTGCTCTTCCCATCATTTAAAGTCATTGAGTACTATAAAATTGAGAATTTCCAAGTATAGGAACCTCAAGTATGTAACTCTACGGGATCACCATTCGTGGAAAATGTTGTTGACCATTAAACAGGTTGTTGTGATTTGCTACTCGCCTTGGGCTGCTTTCGTGGACTGAAAGTGTTGTTGTAATGCCGTAAGCAGATGAAATAATAGGTGCTCTACGATCTACAATGGTTCTAGTACGTGGAGCTAAAGGCTCTCGCCGTCTCCCCAGCGAGGCTCATGGGCTTCTTTGAAGCTGTCCCAAGGACGTTCCAGGATGAACTTAGGCATAAGCATACAAGGGTGATTTACAATAGTGTCCCCATAAAAATAAGATGGAGGGGGAAATTTAAATGACGTGTATAAGTAAGAAAGTGCGACGTTTTTTTTTAATTTTCCAAACGGTTTGGTCTTCAGACCAACATTCGTGAACATTTCAAGAATCTTGTTTATTTATAAATGATCTAGAATGTATATACCTGAGTCAGTAAGTAGTTTCATAAAATATTAAATAGCCTACTTTACATTGCAGATACATATACTTTTCCATAACATTCTAAAGAGTGTGTGATAAAATACCGTCTAGAACAGGTTTAAATTAGGTTCTCGATCTAGTCCAGTTGCTCCCGCATGATGCCAGTCTTGTGGAGGTCAGGTAGATTGATGAGGTACACTACTGTAAGTTGAGAGGACATATACAGTGGTGGATACTGGCCACATTTCAATATTCAGGCTCCTGGTACTATCGTAGCCCAGAGTGGATTAGTACGCTGTAATATACACAACAATCTGCAGCCTATTTAATCCACACTTTAAATAAATCGTGCAAAATAGGCTAGCAAAAGTCAATACTTATAGGTCAAGCTTCTTCCTAAACCCTCATATGATGTTACTGAAGGTGATTTCTACGAAACACTACTCCTCCGTTAATAATGGACGGACTTTTACAAACGATGTGTCAAAATTATTATTTTTTTGTGTAGACACCCCCTTTCACTAATTCCTGTAATAAAAGTCCTCGGTCTTTACTACAGGCCATCAAAATCCCAATGTATTTCTTATGAAGAAAACATTTTGTTTACGACGAATAATTTGTATTAATTACAGCTGTTCATAGTAAACACATGACACACCCAACAGCGTTTGTTTTCAGTTTCGATAACTGATTTTATCTATGTTTTATCTATGCTGAAATGGAGTGATTGATTACATTATCTTTGAGTTGACTATATTAAGTAATCGTAAATTATGACTTCTATCTGATTTGAAATAGCACCTGTAATACTTTGCAATTGCTCGAATTCGAGCAATAGGTACAAACTATTGTTTGTTCTGTTTAATCTGATTGTAAAATACATGTGCATGTTGTAATCATATATAATATTAAAGAAATCCTGTGATGGAAAATTTCGAATTAGTTATGACATTCAAATATTAAAAGATTCACAGAGTTAAGTATTGATCACTATAACAATCCTTTGTTTCAGAGGTGACTGGGAAGAAATACATTGCAGGCGATCCATGGAGCAACGTAAGTAATCTTTCTACGGCAATTTTATTCATGTCTACATGGAAACGTGGTTGATACTTTAATTTCATCCATGCAATTTTCAGGGAGTATGTAATAAAGTTATTGTAGATGCCTGGTAAAAGTGTTTTTCTTTAGTCTTTGACTTTTCAATAGAAACGGTTTTGTAAATTTATATTAATATTTAAGGGGTTTGGAATATTAAAAGAAACTATCTCAATTAACACAGAACATATTTCAGGTAACTTGGTTTGAAGCCAGGGATAACTGCATTGCTAAAGGAAGACAGCTGGCTGTGATCAAAAGTGAAGATGAACAAAAAATGTTTGAATACGCTGCTGACGAGAAATTCAAGGAAAATCGTAAGATAAGTTTAAAGCAATAAGAGCAATAATTTATTCTTGATTTTCTCCTTATTTTGAACCAAGGAAAAATAATTACTTTGGTGTAAAAATAAGATTTTCTCATTTTTTGTATAATTTGATGTGAAATTGAAAAAGCAATGGTTGAAAATACGTATTCTTTTTAATTAATTCACGTTCGGATAAGATTTTGCGTACTCACCAGAAAGTAATCATCAGAGCAATCTTTTGGTGGTTCAATTGAACAATGACAGTTTTGATACTGAAACCGGACAAAGTTTTAACGTCCGAATGTTTTGTAAATTTTTATTGGTAGTTCATAAAATGAACCATAAGATATAAATTTTAACATAACACATTTTATTTATTGTGTTTTGTTTCAGGTGAAGATTCCAGGTCTATTTGGATCGGTCTGGCGGACGAGGTTTGGGTGGACGAGGTTTGGTTAGACAAGTCACTAGTTCTAAGGTTTGTTTGGGTCGACGGTCAGCCGTTGAGGAGGCATTTAGATATTATACCTTGGCAGGAAGGAGAACCTAACAACTACGGCGGGCACGAGGATTGTGTACAAGCAAACCCGGAAAATGGTAAAGACCCAAACACCTCATATAAGTGGAGCGACGTTAAATGCGATATTTGGAACTTCTATATATGCAGTAAAGGTAAATAGTCCAAGTTTAAATATGTATTCAGATATGACATCGTTCCACACAATTTCCATATGATTTTTATAAGAGGGGTGCTATTAAATGTTACAACGGAGGAATATTGTTCCAGAATTTCCTAGGTATTATATTCTATCTTGATGTCTATCTGTGCTACATTTGTCGGTACTTCAGTATTAAACGGAGGCCACATTTTGTCAGCGCGCTGCGGCGGTTATGTTAGGTTGGGTTATCGTAAATATTATGTGTGTAGGACTTTCCTCGCTTCGTTATGAATCGAACGATACTTTCTATTATGATAACCCAACCTAACATAACCGCCGCAGCGCGCTGACAAAATGTGGCCTCCGTTTAATACTGAAGTACCCATTTGTCTTTGTTGAACAACGGTTTGTATTTGCTGAGGGTGCCAAGAACTAAAGAATTTCAACAGGCTATTGCTATTGTTAGATCATGGATCCAATGTGCATCTTCTAAAGGCGTAGCCAAGGAAAGTTGTAAATCCATGAAGAAACACTGATTCAGTTAATGTTTTAAAAAAGATTGAACCTCAAACACATAAATTAACAAGAAAGTGTGCAGTAAGAATTGGCTTGAGCTGAAACCATGTTGATTCTATTTTAACTACAATATTTGGTATGAACATTCAGCTAGTGTAACAGTTAAGCTCTAAAAGGCTATAGGCCTATAACGCATATGTAGCCGTTGGTCTTAACTAAATAAGTCTAAAAAATCTTCAAAAACAAACTATCACTCTTGATTTAACTGAAATTAATTGTTAATTGTAGTGGGTTAAAAATGTCATGTTGCAGTAAGTTGATATTGTGGGCTTTTATAATGGACATAAATTATTGTGCTTCTACTTCCAACACTTTTAAATAGGCAACATTTGTTTTTTGCTATTTTTTCAAAGTTTGAATTATGTCGAACTTTTTATATGGTACTTAAAATAATACTATGGTTTTATCCCCAGCCAAAAAAATACTAGCTTAGCTACTCTTTGGTTTAGTCCTTATATCGACACCGTTTCTCGATTATGTACACCTTGTAAATAATTTATTTTTCGATGCTAACTTTAACTTTAACTCAAAACTAAGTAGGCCTACGTAAACATTGTTAAGATTTTTGGATGTTGGTCTCATACACTAAAACAAAATAGATATATATTCTCGGTGTTTGAACTAAAATTAGCCAGTGGTATTTTGTAGTTGCGAAAATCAAATATATTGAAAGGCAAGTGGTCCAAGCCCCTCATAGTTTTATTTATATAAAGCTTTATAATAATTGAACCTACCCCTCTCGCAGCAAAGCACGAGACACCAACCACTTAGCAACAAGGGCGTTTGTTTACATCTTTAATATTTTCACTTACATTGTTTACCAAAAGGACAACATGGCATTATATTAACCATGAATCACTCACTAAAGTTCTACTTTACTTTGACAGACCAAGGTCTTATTTTGTGTTTTTGACAATTCATTATAACTATCAAAGACATGAATTTATAGTAGAATTTTGGTAATTCTTTCCTTTAATTTACCTTTTTAACAAAGGTAATGCGTTACGTTTATTGCATGTGCTCATGGAAGTTGTTGCCAATATAATAGTTGTTGTTTCAGGTAATTCAGCGAATGAATATGTTCCTGGTGATCCTTGGGTTAAGGTTAGTCAAAATATTACATCTTCTTATCCTGTACTGTATAAGACTATTTACAAAAATGTTACAACTTTAATAATGAGAACTGATTTTCAAAGATAAATGTAAAAAATATGCATATAATCTCAAGAGTTTAGGTGTAATAATTGGATCTTAAATGCACTTTTTATTATTTTGGTTGGTAAATTGACATTCATAGTTTGACGAAAATAAAGGGTGTTTCAACCTCCTTCAAACTTTCAAAACAAAAAAGGTTTTGCTAACTTTAAGATTTACAACAAGTACCACTAGAATGAGTTGCGTTCATATAATGTTGTGATCTGATTAAAAAAAAACAGGCAAATGTTTTTGGAACAATAGGGCATAGACGAATAGAATAAATATAGACTGTCAAAGGAAGGTTCCGCGGTGTTTTCGAGATCGTGCTCGATGTTCGATTCGCTGCCTTCGTCGGCTCCTCGCCAGTCGCCGTTAAGCTACCAGCAGACACTGCAGCGGTGTGCGCCGTAACTACACACTACAGCACTGCTGTCGGTCTATGTTTAATTCTTTTTATCTATGGTTAGGGCGAAGAGTGTGAATGTTGTTTAATATTGAGGTTTGTTTATGACAAGAAACGTTTGAAGAACATATAAAAACTCATTTATACCTACTATTTCAGGTAACTTGGCAAGAAGCGGATGAACTATGCCATAGAAAGGGTCACCAATTGGCTATTATAAGAAATGAAGAACATAATAAAGCGTTTGCTGCTACTGCGGCACAAAAGTTTAGACAAACAGGTGAAGTGATTATTGTTATTAACAAATACATTATTTCCTACCTAAATTATATTTATTTTAAACGATAATAGTTTTAACTGTGCAATAAGGAAACACGTAACAAATGGGCATTAGGATTAAACGAATATTTTATAACAATTAATTGCGAACAATCCCTTATTTACCAATAATTTATCTTAATTATTGAAAGACAAAAAAATGTCTTGAAATATTTCCCCAGTCCATTAAGATTTTTTAAAGAGAAGAATACTTCGCATCAGCATCGATCAATAAGTTTAATTATTAGGTCAGAAGAGGAGTGTTACATCCACAACTATTAAACACGAGGAATTATTATCACCAAGACAGAATGGCAGATGTTTGAATTACAAACGAATTGAGAAAATTTAAAGGTAAATAAGTAGTCAATGAAAAAGACTAGGTGAAAGTAGAGCCGATCGTGCCAGAGAGTTGATAAAATCAGGCAGTTGACCAAACTGACTGGATCAAGGTGACGAATCATATGATCAACAACACTCGCTCTCTATGTTAAATGCTCTAATTGGTGAAGGAAGCGAGCTGGTCTAGTGGTAGAGCTTTAGAGGCCAAGGTCCCAGGTTCAAATCCCGCCATTCCTCAATGTATTTTATCTATGTGATAATGCCGTTACCCCCTAGGACTAGCCTGAAGTAATATGTAAAACAGATCCGGACTCGAACCTAGCATCCTATGTGGTACATAAAAATATTGGTAGGCGTAAAAGTCCTTAGAAAAAATTTGATCTCAACGATTTTTTAATATTTTCTCATCAGGTAGTAAGGCAGGTGTGCTGTGGATCGGGCTGAAGAAGTTAGAACCGAGGATTAAGTGGGTCGACAATTCTCCCCTGGGCTCGTACACCAACTGGCTGCCTTCAGAGCCCACGAGGTATGGAACGCCTTGTGTCAAAGCTGAGGGGAGGAGATACTTTGAGCCGTTGTGGTCAAACTTTAAGCCATACCAGTGGAACGACGTTTTGTGCACTTCCAAGCGGTCGTACTTCTGCGAGGACAAATCAGGTGATTAGTATTTCGATTGGGACTATTTGGTGCTCTAATTACATGATGCAGAAAGTAACTGTGACATTAATTTAACGGTGGGTATTTGTATTTAAAAATTTTAATTAATGCATTTTTGAGGTAAAATAAATTGTGGCCCCATGTTTTTTTTTTGTAATTATGAATAATAATGTTTATTTGTATTTACGTTAGCACTAATTGCAACAGAAAATTCATAAACAAAGGATTTGTTTTAAATTTGCTGTTCTAGTTGTTTAGTTTATTGAAAAAGAGTGTTATGATTCGATGTGAGGGTTAAAGAAACAATCCAAGGAAGGGAACTGCATTTGATTAGCCACTGCAGGATGTCATTGATATGCTTTGTGGAACTATGGTATGAATAAAACTATGGTATAAATAGAACTATGGTTTAAAGGTGGAACTATGATTTGCTCTGCTCCTGGCACTGATAGTTTTTGTAGCATATTCTCGGATAAAAGTTTGTATCAAACATGATATACACCCAACAACCTATGTTGTAAGTGTTTGCAGTTGCACTTCCAAAGTTATATTTACATTAGTTATATTCATAAATAAGTCTAAATAACTTCTTGATCAGCATTGTACGTGTTATTAAATTTACGGAAAGTAAATAAAAGAAACGTCTTATTACACTTAAAACATATATTTACGCTTATACTGTTACTCACAAGACGGTAAATATACAAATAATATGGTAAGTGGTGATCGATTTTGATTGGACACTCCAATATTTAGCGAATAGGAGATTCGCCTATTGGGTCTGATGATGATTGGAGTGTCCAATCGAAATCGATCACCACTTACCATATTTTTTGTATATTTACCGTCTTGTGAGTAACAGTATAAGCGTAAATATATGTTTCAAGTGTTATAAGACGTTTCTTTTATTTAGTTTCCGTAAATAAGTCTCACAAGAACATATTGGATTCGCTAGTAAATGTTTCACTCCGTAATATTTAATTATTTTCCTATGATTGCTACTACTTATTTCCACCATTTGGGTGAAATTTGCTTCAATTATGTTTATTATTTGGGTGAAGCTTTTGATTGCCAATATATTTTAAAATTGAATAATACATTTTATAAGCTGCTTATGATTATTGTTTATGTTTGTTTAATCATAACGACTTGTTATTGTTCAGCTATTGAAATTTATATAATTTATGGTGTTCAATAGTGTTGTTTATTTAATAATACAAATGTACAAATTAAAAAATGACAAAAGGATTTCCCAACAAAAAACATAAATAGATCCATCTCTAGGACCACAAATACTAGTGCATCAACAATAAATCATTTAACCAATTTTTTTTCAGATTCTACAGAATCCAACATTGCTCCTGGGGACCCATGGCTTAAGGTATTCAGGACTATAAGTGTAAACTCATTTAATCGCTTTTTGAACTACATTTATTACCTAAAATCATTCTAAACACACTAAGACAGACCTGTACCCATATGAATGGAAGGCTACTTTTAAGATTGGTTTAGAGTAAGTAATTTGTGTCTGTAATAAACCAATAGCCCCTATAAAATATGTTGTTTTAAAAATATTATATTATATTTCATTAGCCCCAGCTATAATTCATGTTTCAATTTCTAACGTAGTATGGATAAATAATTTGAGATAAATAATTCTTTAATAGTATACAATGTTGACATATCTTATTTGAAATAAGATAGCGATGGAGTTCTTGCAGTCTTAAACACGACTTAATTGTGTCATGTAAAGAAGTTTTTGTATTATATTATTTTGTGTCTTTTGATGTCTACTAAAAATGGTTAGCTTAGCTTAACTAACAATTACTTTGGGTTATTATAAATCATAGAGATACTTAAAGTTACAAACAAGAGCCAATTTACCTAGCTAAAAGTTCTTTATTTTGTAGGTAACGTGGCACGAAGCGAGAAAAAATTGTGATTCTATTGGAAAGAGACTCGTCGTATTAAAAACTAAGGAAAAGATACAAAGATTTAAAGAAGCTGCTGTAAATATCTTTAGGAGCAAAGGTAATTGATTGCATAAAAATGTTATTTAGTTTGCATTACAACGATGGTCACGGCGTTCTTCAAAGCTATAAACTGCTAGATATTATGTTGATACAAACGTTCTACAATATTATTATACTGCATTTGCATAGTGTGAATATAAAAAATAACATAGCCTACTATTTCATTCAAATCCAATTAGCCTTGGAATAGTTTATCCCTATATATTTATCTCTTATAGTTTATTGTATAGATTTTTAAAAACCGTTATTAAGTATATGCTTTCTGAAGAAGGAGGTTGCATATTTTGGAATAGGCAGATTATGCCTACGTCATATTAGTAACGTAGGTCGAATATTTTTATTGAATACTAGAGGACCCATGCTTCTCCACAGCGTTGAAATAAATATCATATCCGAGAAATAATCAAATTTATGATTTTTGATTAAATAATACAGTATCTTGAACTTAACTGATTCAAACGATCAATAGCTCCAATTGAAGCCTATAATTTACTGATTATTTTGAGTCTAAAACATAAAAAAAAAACATAAACAATACTGTAGCTGTTGATTTTTAACTATAGAAAAACCTTATAGAAATCATTTTTATGTTGGTTGTTCACCTTGCGTTTTCTTGAAACTAGCCTAAACATATTTAAAAAACTAATAGCTTAAATAAAAGTCGGTATTTCACTGAAGGTTCTTAGACCAAAATATATATGATTATATAATTATAACTGGTGAAATACATCTTAAATTGGAGTAAACATTTGAAAATAAATAAAATTTACTGTCGTTAAAATAAAATTTTGGTCGAGCAAAACAGTAGATAAATATATGCCGATGCTTGATGTGAAATTTGTGCGTGCATACCATCAATTTGAGACCTCAATCATGAAAATCAGTCGGGTAGAAGAGCCAAACGAACTCGGAAAAGAAAAACCATAATTTAACTCTCATAGGAAATACATTGGAAGCAAATTTCGTTTACGTATAAGCCGAGTGTTACTTTAGATAAATATATGCCGATGCTTTATGTGAAATCTGTGCGTTCATACCTTCAATTTGAGACCTCAATCATGAAAATCTGTCGGGTATAAGAGTTAAACGAACTCGGAAAAGAAAAACTATTTTTTTTTTTTTTTTGTTTATAAGATACAGTGGTTTCATCTCTAGGAGAATCTCCAAGTTCGACCTGGATAGGACTAGCAGACTGGGAGTTGGAAAGACGCTTTACATGGGTGACTGGTCAACCTCTGAGGTTAAGCGATTTCTCTGCTTGGTGGCTCTTCGACGAAGCAGAGTGGCCCAACTTTGCAGATTTTGTTGGGAACTGTGTACTAGCAGGGCTTCCTCCTACGAATCCCAACGCGACAGCCTACACCTGGTTGGACACCCTATGTCAGTTTACGTCGTTCTACTTCTGCTCTGAAGGTGACAAGATTATCATTGTTAAGGTTGATTCACACATCAGTCCAGTCACAGTTCCGTCACAGTTCCGTCACATTTTAGTCACAGTCCAATCACAGTTAAATCACAGTTCAGTCTCAGTTCAGTCTCAGTTGCATCCTCAATTCAGAAGTCAACTGTCCGTCAGTTGGTTTCAGCCAGTCTTCCGTCACTTTATTTACAGTGATGTTACAGTCAAGAACTTTTTATTAAAACAAAATATTCTATCAATTTGTCATCATCCATCTTAATGATTGTTATAAATAGTTCCTAAGATATAAACACGATTACTTAAATAACAAAAACAAAATTTTTTTATGTCAAACACATACATTGCACAAGTGTCAGGCGTCCGAATGTGACTGAATTGTGAGGTGCCGACACTGATGTGTCTTGGATGAACAGATTGAACTTATCATAGCGTCTGAAAAACATATTACATTTTCATAACATATTTTAAGTCATTTCATAATCTAAAATTGGCCTAAATCCCTATATGAACATTTCCAAATCTTATTAATGTATTTCAAGGGACAACAACTTTATCATACCAAACTTAACATACAATACAATGTTAGTTTCTTGAAATACTTACCGGTAAATTGTATTTATTACATTAAAACTGACAGCAATCACGACAATAATGATTGTAACAATAATACTACTGAATGCAAAGTATAGTCCCAAACAGAAATAAATAAATAATTTTAAATTTAAACCTTACCATCAAAATGGTCAACTTATGAAATTGTACGCAACAGAAGTGTGAATATTCCAAAATAACTTTTTATTGTTCAGATTTACAAAATATATATGAATGTTACAGGAGGAAAGGTGGATGGTAATTATGTCCCAGGAAATCCTTGGACTAAAGTAAGTTGTTACATTCATTAATTAATAAGTAATTGATGTGTTTAAAGAAACCCATTTTAATGGATATTGAAAAATAGAACAATGTTACGCGCAATCATATCCATACAAATAGGTTATTTAATTCATTTTTGAAAGTAATTAACCAGTATAAGTTGCAAATTATGTTTTATCAAAATATTCCGTGAGTAATACGCATTAACTGTTTGTTATTTACACAAAATGTAAAAGAATGTTAACCTAAGCAATACGTACAAATGTCTTATTTTTGGTAAACATTTAGGTAATATGAAAATAAATTTAAACAGCATGGTAGGTTACTTTAAAAATCATATTACGGGAGTGTCAAGAATAAATTAACTAGGAATGATGAAAATATTGACTGATCTTAATTAATACAATATATAAATAGTCCAAGAAAACAGTGTTGCAACATGGAAAAATTTGCAACAGAAACTTCCTCAATGGCTTTTTGTTTAGAAATTATAGCTCTATAACATATTCAAAATCAAACAAAATCCGACAATGGGAACACCCCAAAAACACACCTCAAAATGGCGGACACAATCTTTTCAAAATTGAGAAAAATATTGATTAATTTAAACTGTGTATGGATATAAAAAGTAAGTTGATTTGACTGTAAAACTGATTGATAAAAAACAACTCTCATTAGTCATGTTCATCACTTTCATCACTATCATAGTTTGAAGGGCGATGGCAGTTCTGACATCCCTTTATTTGAAAATCCCTACATGCTGTTTAACATGGTAATCCATTGCGCTTGCAAACGCAGTGTAAAGAAACGCAGTTTGTTTTGCAGGAACATCGGATCATATTTAGAAGATAGTCTGGAGCTGGTGGTAAGTCGCAGAGTGTTGGATGGTAAACGTAATTTTCTTTATACCAACCACGATGTTCTGGATGCTGCAACTATCGGTAGAATCTCACGCAAAGCGTACAAATGCAGATCCCAGGAGTTAATTGTGTCGGCTTCTATCAACATTCGTACAGTCATCATTCACTGATATTCCAACCACAGTTGACTGGTTCTCGAGGAGGATTGCAAAGGATTTGTCTTTGTCTCCAGAGCAGTGTCAATTAAAGATAACACATCACTTTGCTCAATGTCCTTTTTTTGTTTTTTGACCGGTCATAATACCGTCGAGTATGTCGCAAGCTTTCTGGACAAATTCTTGGGAAGTTCCATGGTCATTGGGAGGAAAAACCTCTGACACTAATAGGGTACTGCGGGCTGCATCTACAATCATATGTCCTCTCATCGCCCTAGAAACAGCTTTTCCAGGCATCAATAAAAATAAATATTCCTGATCCATTCATGTGAGTGCCAATTGCACCCAATGCATTTGATCAGCCTATGGAATGTTCCAAGCATTAAAGTAGCTAGATTAAAGTAACAGTTGCTCGAAATCGATTAAAACTGCAAGCTGTAATAAAAGAATTAACAACAAAAACAGCAAGACCTCAATCAAAGAGTCACTCTTAAGTAATTTCTGACTGATTATAGAAATATGGAAAATATTATGTTGTAAAAAAATATATAAAAGTAGTCTACAATATTTAAATATAGATCCGCTCTCATACTGCTTTGGTTATCTCTTATGTACTGTAGGCGGGTGCCCTCTATGAGAACGTAGATGTCAACCACACACTGTAAAGTGAGCTTTTCAGACGCTAAATCCCTCTCTTGACGCCAACCAGTACTACACGTACTATAGCATTGTTAAATTATTTATACTATATGTTCTGTTTTAGGCGTGTTTAAATTAGGGGCACCAACCAAAGTCTCCGGTTGAGAACATAAGAGGGTAAGCAAGTGGATCTAACGACTGATCTAGAACGGATTCACGTTTAACATTATTAGTTTTGGAAAAAACTAAGATTTATTTGGCCAGGTGGTGCTCTGTTTTCAGCTTTAAAAATACCTGCGACATTTATTTAAGTAGCATCATTATAGAGAGGAAAGTCACTCCTTTTGTCTATTACTATCCACATGAATCTCACTTGACTCCTCGTCCCAACACATTTCTGCCACAATTTTAAAAGATTAGGCAAATAGGTTGGCAATTTGACCCTATTCCCGCATATTTTTTATGGCATTTTTTGTTTGAATTGTGTTTTATGCGCTGTTGGGTTCCAGTGTCAACGTCGTACTCAACTATACATCTGTGCGTGTTCAGGATAACCTTCTTAAGGGATTAGATTACCTACTCGGAGGTAAAACGTGTCATGGATCTTTTAATTGTAGATCCCCTGTGTGATCCTCTCATCTAAATTAGCTTCAGAGCTGATCATGGCAAAGGCAAAATTGAATTGACGAAATTTATCCAAATAATTTCTAGATCTAAGCCTCGCAGCCCTTTTTTCAGATTGGGAGTTTCCAATAAGTTCCTGAAAGTATGGTGAATTCCGCAGATGAGGTAAACGGTTCTTTCATTTATGGTAACAAAGAGTTAAAATTGAACTGTTTCGGTCAGTCTTTTCTTTTCTTAAAATGTAAGCCACCACAATGCAAACATTTAACGTTCATTTGTCTGAGGAGATGTATCCATGATGTATCACCATGGTGGTACCGCCACTCTGTATCCTTCAAATGTTCCATTGGTAGGTTGATGCAAGCTGTCACGTCCGCGTTCCCTCCAGACACTCACAGTTCTTCGTCTTACTGGTGGCTTAAATACGAAAGTTAACCAAACAACAGAAAACACTACAACGGAATTTGGATATACATTGTAAATTACGTAACATGGTAATGCAATGGGTTTCAATCATTCACTTCATCATACCAAATTGTAACTAAAACTACATGAAAATTCAGTAAAATACGTTGTAAGGTAAATTAATTCAAATATTATGAACAATTTGTTATTAAGTCTTGCTAGGAAACTATTTTATGAACCAGTCTTATTTAACAGATGTATAAATTTAAATAAAAACGAGGTGTTAGCCCGTCCTACGTACGGGAATCGAGTAATCAGTTAAAAATGTGTATAATTCAGAACAGCTAGTTTACACGTATAAAGACAAATTTTATTGCAGTTTTAATGTGAAAAATCATCTTGTAAACAAATGTTGCGTGACCAAATCTGTTTTTATCCCATCATGATAGGCCTATACTATATGCATTTTAAATCCGCTAATTTTACAATAAAACAACAATTGTGACGATGTGAAAAGCGTTGAAGTGAGATTTGCGGCTGATTCGCACACTGATTATAAGTAGCATACAGTAGAAAGAGTAATTATTAATTGAGAAGTGTATAGGCCTAGTCAACGATACCACCTTCCATCGCATACTATCACCTGCCTCTTTCATAATTATTATCACCACAATACAATTACTCATACTAGTAGAGGGAAGGACTGTTATTATCACATGACGTCATAATTAATGTGATTAGGTAAGTATCTAGAGATGGGGAGTATCGTAGTCAGGGCTGGGCATGTACTCTGGTGATGTGTGTGATCACAGATGTTGTAGATGGTATTGTTATTAGGTCAAGGACGTCTGAATGTGTTTTAAAAATATTCTGTACTAATAGGTAAAGTATTGTAGTATATTTTCATTTTTGATCCATCCATCTACTAGCTGCCGCATGAGTTCTTCAAACGCCTGATTAAAAAAATATGTTGTGCTGGTAACTTTGGGATCTTGTATTATTAACATAGTTATGTCTACTGTGTTTTGTCCTTGATTACTATTTGAGTTATCTGTTAATGAAGATATATTGTTGTCCATTGTCGAAGATATTTTGTTTTCTTGAATAGAAGGAGCATTTCCAGAGGACATGTTCACCTAGTGATTGGTAATAGTCAAATGACTGGTAATTTGCACTGTTAACACTTATATAGTGTTTATAGAAGTTTGGGTAATAGGTTTCAGTCTTACCCTTAGACGGGAGGAAGACATGTGCACGTAAGCATG